CGATCGGGCGAGCTCCGCCCGATCGGGCGCGAACATGAACAAAAAATTCGCCCTATGGCTCGCCCGATATATCTTTTCCTTCACTCGATTTGCGCCCGATCGGGCGAAATTCGCTCGAGTTTCTGACTGCACTTGCGCACCCGATCGGGCGAATTTCGCTCGATTCCCAGCTCTCCTTTTGCGCCCGATCGGGCAGCCACGCCCGATCGGGCGAATTAAAGGCTGGAAATATCGCTCTCTTGCGCGCCCGATCGGGCGAGCCTCGCCCGATCGGGCCCATGCCCAGTCGTTTCTTTAGCTTTTCTTCGTCTTCAAATTTTTTCTAAGACTTTCGATCTCTTAAACCTATACCTGTACAAAAACACTTATAAACGGTAAAATTACACTTTCCTCGCCTCTCAAAAATAGAAATAAAAATAAAAATAAATAAAAAGGAAAAAGTAGTCTAGAAAGCAAGAAATACGGGTTGCCTCCCGCAAAGCGCTGGTTTATCTAGGTCCCGCATGACCTTCTTACCAAGTACAATATCTAGGACCCTTGACCTAACGCTTGATCGGGTGGTTTCTCACCCGGTCTAGCGGTGTTCAGGCTGCGATGCGGCTTTCTGACATACCCTGTGGGACGCTAAATCACCTTATCTCGCCAAATCACCTTATCTGGTGGATCCTCCTTAACTTGGACGGGGGGATCTTCAATGCTACGCACTAAAATTCCTTCTTCGATCAAAGGTTGCTTCAAATTGTCATTGCGTTCAACACTTGCAACTCGATCCGGCGGAACACTTACCGTGGGCTCGATTCACACAACTTGCTCGATCGGTTCCACCTGTACATCCTCAAAACCAAGACCAACAGTGTAAAGCGCTCTTTCTATTGCATCGAATTCCTTCTGCCATTTGTCTATCTCTTCTGAAAAGGATGCAACACAAGATGCCGCCTCCAAGGGATCGAACTGCTTATCTAAGTTTGTCTTCAATTGACGATTGGGGAATGGAAGTTTGATAATTGGCTTTGGAGCATTATTACTCTTGTCTGGAGTAGCCACCTTCTCTAGAGTAGTACCCTGCAATGTAGAATTAGATATGTTAGTAATATCCTTTAGCCCTGAAGGGCTATAAACTACATTGTTTGGTTTAACGGAATCAAGATTAGCATTATTTAATAAAACAGGATCATCAACTATGGGCATAGAGGGCCTTTCATAGTTTGAACCACTCCTTAGAGTAATTGCAAATGCTTGATCCGTAGGTCGGGTTGGCTGTGCCGGCAGAGCTCCCTGTTGGCGGGCTTGTAGAGTAGCGGAGAGTTGCGCAATTTGATTATCTACAATTTTATTATGCGCTAGAATTTGATCAATTGTCGCATCTCTACTCTCCATGTGCTTTTGCATATTAACCAACATTGCTCTAATTTCCGCTAGAGAAGGGTCGGAAGATGAGGGGGTTTGTTGTGGTTGGTTCTTCTGGCTAGCATTGAGATGATAATATTTCTGCTGCTGTGGCGCCTGTGGTTCTTGTGGTGGTGAATTTTGAACATTAGTGCTTCGGTAGGAAAGGTACGGGTGATTCCGATACCCAGGATTGTAGGTGTTGGAGTATGGGTTATTCTGCCTATAAGCTTGGAAGGCATTAACTTGCTCCACGGAACTCCTGCAATCTTGCTCCTAATGACCTACGATTCCACAATTTTCACCGAAAGCCTCATTAGAATTATTATTAATCGCAGAAACATTGGCTATATTAGCAGTGCTAAGATTATCTAATTTTTGGCAAATAGAGGTCAGTTGAGCTTGCAAAAAGGATACAGAGTCGACACTATGCTTCCCCTTGTTAGCAAATCCTCTGGGATTTCCATATTGGGAATTGTGTATCGCCATATCTTCAATAACCTAACCTGCATCATCAACATTAAGATTCATAAATCTCCCACTAGCTTCAGAGTCTAAAATTATTCTAGAGGAATTTTCAATGCCGTTATAAAAGGCTTGGATTAACTGCCATTACGCTAAATTATGGTGAGGGCATTCTCTTTGTAAGTCCTTGAATCTCTCCCAAGCCTCATATAAAGATTCATCGGCTTCTTGGGCAAAGTTCTGGATCGCACTCCGTAGTACTGCTGTTCTTTCTGCAGGATAATACTTGTTATAGAAATTCAAAACAAGAGTTTCCCAGTCAGTTATACCAAGTGTAGTTCTATTTAAGCCATTAAACCACAATTTAGCTTTTCCAGTTAAAGAGAAGGGAAAGAGAATCTCCCTGATTTGGTCTTGAGTGACCCCGGCTTGCCTGATGGTGTTGCAATATTGACAATATTCGGCAATGTGAAGATTCAGGTCTTCACCCTTGGCTCCACTAAATTGCTTTCTCTCTATCATGGTTATAAATTGAGGTTTAATTTCAAATTGAACCCCATCAAGAGCCGGAGTAGGGGTGAGATGTGGAAAATCCGTAAGCTTTGGTTGTGAATAATCACTGAGCTTCTTCGGAGCCGTCATCTCTGATTCTGCGTCTGATGATGTCTCTGAATCGCTAGAACTAGTTGGAGAATTTCGGTGATTATTGTTATTATCACCACAATCCGCCAGGATTTGCTTGTAGAGATTTTTCTGTCTATGGAAGGAACGTTCGATCTCAGGATCGAATGGGATGTAACCTGATCTGGAACACCTGGGCATAAACAAAAACTAGAAGAAAATGTGAGATTTGTCTCAGAGAACTAACGCTCTCTGAGACAAAAGGGAAATAATCTAGACTACAAAAACAATCAGAAATAAAAATAAAACCGTTTCCCCGGCAACGGCGCCAAATTTTGACAGGGTAAAGTCGTATCCCCTAATCAAAAGTAATTCCTAAGTCCTCTAACTAAATTAGACAGGGAAGTAGGGTCGATCTCCACAGGGAAACAAGTCTTTCTATTCCTAATTAACTAAAATAATCTAGATTATCTAAGTAACCAATATTCATATTTGAATAAGAAACTAAACTACAAAGAATGAGAATAGGGAGAAAACAATATATAAAAGGATCTAGGGCATAGGTTCACCAATAAATAATACTCCAGGGTAAAACATAGAAATCAATCATTGACATTGCATAAATAACATGATTAACAGGCTCTCGCAATTTATTAATCAACATAGATCTAACAGGCTCTCGCAATTTACTAGATCTAAGTTCCTATTGAAAATAGCCTTTAATATCAAATTAACATCTGCTCGATTCATCAATTCAATATTGCTATACTTTTACAAGCCACAATTGTAAAGCGTTAAAACAATTCAATAAGAATTTATCATGCAATACCAATAATCAATAATAGTCAATCATCAATGCATCAATTAACCAGATTGTAAAGGGCTTTCGCTACGTATTACAATCACAGAATTAATCTACCGGTATTAAATCTCATCTCTCGAATCTCGACTTAACCATTTATAAATTAACCTGCCTATTGAAACTAGACCTAAACATTAATTCTCATCTGTCGAATCTCGAATCAATATTGTCAAACTCATGCATAAAAGATAGGCCTAATCTAGTCACAGAGCATTAAATCAATCAATAGGAAATTAATCTAGCATTGATAATCAACAACAATAAATTACCCCTTCATATTATTTATGGATCCCCATAAACCCTAGAAATAGAACTACTCACACATATTAAAAACTAAACAAATCAAAGCAATAAAATAAGTCATGATGAAAGGAAATAAGATTAAGATTAAGATTAAGAGAACAGAAATCGTTACCAAACTAATCTGTATTAATGGAAATAATCAAGAACAAGAGTTGAGAGAAGAGTTAAGAGAGAGAAAAGATCCTAAGTAGAGAGAGAAAGTCTAAGAAAGAAGATAAGTGAAATTAATCGTCCTCAAGCGTACTTAAACAAAAATAAAACAACTTCCTGATTAGAAACTAATTGCTCGACAAAAGAGCTCTTCCAGAAACACGCGCCCCGATCGGGCTAGAGGCCGCCCGATCGGGCGCGCCTTTTTCTCGCACTCCTCTTCTCAACAGCCGCGCCCGATCGAGCTAGCAGCTCACCCGATCGGGCGCGCCTTTGGCCACGCACCAGCGTACTCTTGCGCGCCTTGCCCGATCGAGCTAAGCTTGCCCGATCGGGCCCTTGCTTCACCTCGAGGCTTGGAACTTCGATTGGGCTTATTTCTTCGGCCCAATCCGGATGTCCACTTAGGGTCTCGCTCACTCGGTCCAAATGCCTCAGGATCCCAATTACCGAGCCCTTAATCATCGGCTCTCACCGATACTGGGCTCCAAAAGTGGTCGTGTCCTTCTAGCTTCCGTAGTTGGTCCATAAAGCCCGGAAAAATGCTCCAAGAGTGCAATTTCCTGTAAAATACAACTAAAACTACGACAACACTAGAAAACACACATTAGTAATAAAAGTAGCCCGAAAGAGCCAAAAACACTACTAATAACGACCAAGGGACGGGGGTAAAACACTATATAAAATGGACATATCATAGGGCCCGGGAGCAAATAATGGATCCGGGTTTCTTCGAAACCACAACTGAGCCCTTGGGGGATGGGACTCATATTATTGTGCCTAAAAACTGGATCCCCCATCCGGATTTCTTCAACGATGAAAGATTCATGTCCACCTACGGGTTAAGAACCATGTTTCCCAAGGGTAGATCCATTTTGCATCCGGCTTTTCTGTTGTTTTTTTTTTGTTTTTGTACTTCAACTTTTTTTTATAATTTTTCACTAACTTTTTATTTTCTCCTTGCAGCTGACGCCTTGAAGATGGTTGATCCGGAAAAAAAACCCCGGCTAAGTCTGCTGTAAAACTGCGTAAAGAAAGCGCTCTTTCCAAGAGAGCGGTCGTCGAGGCCAAGAATGGCGGGATAAGACCTCCTGACCAGTCTAGTTTCCTTTAAATTTCTTCCAAGAGTTTTTTTGTCGGCTGGTAACATTTGATTCTTTATTTTCAGGATGCCACTAAATGCGTTCCACGCTCCATCTCCAAGCTTTTCAAAATGCAAGGGGAGGAGCTGGACAAAACTCCGGCTGCCAAGGCCTCAAGGAAGAACCCTTCTCAGTCAACTTCTACTGCCAATCTGGATCGTCCTACAACCGATGGCAAATCTCCTTCTGCCATGAAGATTCTGAGTGAAAGCTCAGAACGTTCAGGAAAGAAAGTGTCGGATGCCTTTACGGCATCGAAGGATGGCCAGCCACCCAATGTTGCAGCCAGTGCGACAATGATTGGGGAGGAGGATGCCTCTAAGCCCATCCTCAAACCCAAGGTAAGAACAAGATTGAACTTCCTTGGCCGCTGGACTTTATGCAAGTCAAGACTAAGGTTGACCCTTTGGGGGGTTCAATCAGCAGCCGGCAACAAATGAATGCCAACTACGCTGCATCCCTCTGGGGCCCTTTAGGCGGAAACAAGAAGAGGTAAATGACGCCAAACGGAGGGCCACTGAAAACCTCGACTCTGCTGAATATGCTAATTGTTTGACTTAATGATTTTGATGATGACACAACCTCACTTACTTACAAACTAATAAGTGCTTGATTGGTTAAGTGTGTGCTCAGTTGCAAAGACCAGGAGAATTAAGTGTCTTGTAAGAATACCATGAGGAACAAGAAGGCCCGAAGCAGAGCTATCCATAAAAAAGAGTTCCTTTGCAAGAACTGGTGCTTCAGAATTGAAGACTTGAGAAGAGAAGGTTCCCCTCAGGGAACAGAAGCTTCAAAGAACAGAAGCTGTAGAGAAGAAGCTTCGTTAGAGAAGAGAAGTTCCTTCCAAGAAACAGGAAGCCTCAAAGTAGAAGCTTCATCAGAAGGCATGAAGACTAAATATATTTTTATATTTTAGGATTTGTGTAAGTATAAGAAGTTAATTACACTCAAAAATTCTGTGTGGAATTGGTCTTAGGAGAAAATATTGTGCATGCTAGAAATTAGGAAAATGGTTAAAGTAGTAAACGTCTATCTTTTCTAAACTAAAAAGATTTTATTTTATTTTCTGATTTTAGAAAATATCTTGTGCAAATGGATTTTATTTATTTTCTTATTTTCGAAAATATCTTTTGAAAAATAAAATCACCATGTTTTCCTTATCTTGTGGCCTACTCCCCATGTTCTTCTTCAAGGCATGGCCATGCACATTAAGGAGTTCATGTTTCCTTAATTTAAGGGACATGATCTTCTTAGTGGGTTGGAGTAGTGGCGTAATGATGTTGCTGCACAAAGATGATTTTCCAAGGCGTTTTGCAATCTATAAATAACTATTGATTTCTGTTGGAAAATCTCACCCTTGCTCACATAAGTTTTCTAGCTTTTAATTCGAGTCAAGTGTCAATTCCACACAATTTCATTAGAGTGTTCTTATACTAGATTTTGTTTATCTTTCGAGTTGTAATTTGGGGAATGGGGAAGTTTGAGTGAATTTCTGTGTATGAGAAAGAGAAGTGAGAAAGAGAAGTGAGAAAGAAAAGAGAAAGAGAACAGAGAACAGAGAAGTGAGAAGAGCGAAAGAGAAGAGAAGAGTGACAAGTTGGGTGACTTGTTTCTTGGGGTTTCAAGTTCGTAGAAGAACTTGAGTTTGAGTCTTTAGTTTGTAATAGGACCATTTTCCCTATTCTAGTGAATATTCGTTTCCCAAAATCCCAAGTGGTTGTGGTTTTTCTCCTTGTTAGGGCCAAGGAGTTTTCCACGTAAACATCTCTCTTGCATTATTTAGTTCCTTTAGTTAATCTTTCTGTTCCTTTAGCCTACTTAGTTTTTAATTCCGCAAAAAGTTGGCTAAATTCTCATACTACAATTCAACCCCCCTTCTTGTAGTATTCTTTGAAACAACAATTGGTATTAGAGCCTAACTTCTAGGAAAATCAGGAAACCCTGAAGAAGAAAGGTCTTGGAGAAAATGAATACTCATGAAAAGCTCGAGGAAGGATATTCAACTCAGAGGCCGCCTATGTTCAACGGCAAGTTCTATACCTACTGGAAGAACTCTTGGAGATCTTCATCAAGGCGGAGAACTACCAAGTCTGGAATGTCATCGAGGTTGGTGATTTTGAAGTCACCAAAACAAATGCTCAAAATGAGGTAATCCCTAAGCCTATGTCTGAATATCAGAAAGAGGACTTTGATAAAATGGAAATAAATGCTATGGCTGTGAAATTGCTCCACTATGGACTAAAACCTCATGAACACAATCGTGTTATGGGGTGCAAGAACGCTAAGGAAATCTGGGATTTTCTGCAGATTACTCATGAAGGAACTAATGAGGTTAAACGCTCAAAAATCGATCTACTTATGTCTAAGTATGAAAGATTTAAAATGCAACCTAAGGAAACCATTCAAGAGATGCTAACACGTTTTACTAACATCATAAATGAGTTACCTTGGTAGACAGATTCCTACAGATGAGTAGGTTAGGAAGGTTCTTAGAAGTCTTCCACAAGATGAGAGATGGAGAGCTAAGGTGACAGCCCTTCAGGAAACGAAGGACTTTACTAAGTTCAATATTGAACAACTAACAGGTTCTCTCATTACTCATGAGCTACACCTTGGAGTCAACAATGAACCCATGAGGAACAAGGGATTGACTCTTAAGGCTGATGAGGAGGAAGACACAGAAGTTGACGAGGATGAGGCTTCCCTAATTGTGCGAAGATTCAAGAAGATGTTCAAGAAAGGCCGAACCTCAAGGAACTTCGGGAAAAAGACCTCAAATCCAAAACCTGACTACAGCTGCCACAAGTGTGGATCCCCAAATAACTTTATCAGAGACTGTCCCCTTTGGGAAAATGATAAAGGAAAAGGAAAGGCTAAGGAACAAGGAAGAGAAAAATTTAGCAAAGCAAACTTTCAAAAGTCAGACATGAGGAAGGTCATGATAGCAGCTTGGGGAGACTCAGAAAGTGAAGAAGAAGATGATGACCAACCAGAAGAGGAGACGACAAATCTTTGTCTGATGGCCACATCAGATGATGAAAAGGCTTACCTTGAGGAACTCCAAAAGGAGGTATTTCTTGATCCTAAACAGCTTAAAACTCTCTCTAAAGATGTCTTAATAGATATATGTCTAGAAGAAGAAGAATTCTGTAGAGATACATGTGTGAAGTTGAATAAATGTGAAAAGGCTCTTAAAGTTTGCAAAGAACATGGTGCTTGGTTGGAAACAGCCTATGCCAAGTCTCAAAGCAAATTAAGAGAGCTTGATTTTAAATACAAACACATAACTGAGATAGCTGATAGAATTAAGAATGAAAGTATTCTTCTGAATATTGAATTAACTCAATATAAGCTCATGAATTCTAATATCAGTTCTAGCAGTTCCATAAGCGATCAGTTGCTTAAATTCAATGTTGATTTTGAAAATTTAAAAGATGAGCTTTCTACTTTAAAAACTCAAAAGGATCAACTTGAATCAGAACTGAATGCTAGAAAGGATAGAAGTATTGACCCAAAAGTCATACCTAAGTTGATAGCTGAAGCTCAAGGAAAAAGAACTGAAGGCCTTGTTTACATGACCAAGAGGAAAGGTAAGCAAAAGAAATATGTTGAGCTTCCTAGCATGAAGGTATGTACTTTTTGTGGTAAGACCAGACATCTCTATGGACAGTGTATGATAAGAGAAGAAGCAGATAAAAGAAATTTAAAACAAGTGTGGGTCAAGAAAACTGATATTGCATCCACGTCTAAGGAACCCAAGGAAACCTGGGTTCCTAAACCTAATGCTTAGTTTTCTTGCAGGTCCTAGTGAGGGGGAACAACTCGTGGTATCTCGACTGCGGTTGTTCAAAGCATATGACAGGTGATAAATCAAAATTCCTCTCACTAGAAGACTACCCTGGAGGAACAGTAACCTTTGGGGATAATAAGAAGGGCGAGATCATTGGAAAAGGCAAAATTGGAAGATCTAAATCTCATTCCATTGATAATGTGTTCCTGGTCAAGGGCTTAATGCACAATCTGCTCAGTATATCACAATTCTGTGATAAGGGAAACTCTGTAAGTTTTACTTCTGATTCTTGCAACATCATCAACAACAAGTCAGGAAAGGTTGTTCAAGAAGGAGCAAGAAGAGGGAACACTTATAAAGTTGACCTTAACTTAATCCCAAGGAACAACCTTACATGTCTGAGTGTTGTTGAAGATGATCCCCTGCTATGGCATAAACGTTTTGGACATGCTAGCTTTTCATTACTGGACAAGCTGAGGTCAAGGAACTTGGTTGTGGGACTTCCTATTATCAAGTTCCTACTGTACAAAGTTTGTGATGCATGTGTGAAAGGCAAGCATGTTTGTTCATCTTTTAAATTGAAGAAAAGGGCTAGCACTACAAATCCTTTGGAATTAATCCATATGGATTTGTGTGGTCCCATGAGAATTCAAAGCAGGAGCGGCAAGAAATATGTTTTGGTTATCGTTGATGATTATTCTAGATTCACTTGGTTTATTTTTCTTTCTAGCAAAGATGAAACTTTTAACGAGTTTGTTGCTTTTTCCAAGAAAATACAGAAAATCAGTGGTCACTCCATAGTCCATCTCAGATCAGATCACGGAACTGAATTTGAGAACTCAAGATTCGATGAGTTTTGCAGGGAAAATGGCATGAATCATAATTTCTCAGCTCCAAGGACTCCCCAACAGAATGGAGTTGTAGAAAGGAAGAATCAAACCCTTGAGGAAATGGCTAGAACGATGTTGATTGCAAGTGGATTGCCAAGGAACTTCTGGGCTAAAGCCGTGAATACAGCATGTTACATCCTTAACAGGGTAACAATCAGAAGTATCATCAACAAGACTCTCTATGAACTATTCAGGGGAAGGAAGCCAAACATATCTCATCTTAGAGCCTTTGGTTGTAAGTGCTTTGTACATAATAATGGTAAGAAAAACCTAGGTAAATTTGATGAAAGAAGTGAAGAGGCCATATTTCTAGGATATGCCTCTAATAGCAAAGCTTATAGAGTTTACAATAAAAGCTCAATGTGTGTTGAGGAAAGCATTCACATAATCTTTGATGAAGTTAAGTAGTTTGTGAGTGTGCAGGAAAAAGAAGATGATAATGATTTTGAAATTGGATTGATAAGAGACATGGATGAAGAAGAGACTCAGAAGCAAACCAAAGAAAAGTATCCTGCTCCAGAAGAGGATCATCAAGAAAATGGAGAGGTTCCTCAACCAGATGAACAGGTGAATGAGGAACAAGAAGAAGAAGCAGGAGGAACAGATCCAGAAGCTCCTCAAATTGGAGTTCCAGCAAGGGAATTTCAACCCAGGCCATTCTAGTATCAAGGTTCTCATCCAACTGATCTCATTATCAGTGACATAGGAAAAGGAACTCAAACAAGATCGCAAATGAGGAACTTCTGTGCGTTCCATGCATTTCTGTCCATCCTAGAGCTAAGAAATCATCAAGAAGCCTTGAGAGATGCTGATTGGATAGTGTCCATGCAAGAGGAACTCAATGAGTTCGAAAGGAACAAAGTCTGGCACCTTAAGCCAAAGCCTAAGGGAAAGAAAGTTATTGGGCTCAAATGCGTGTTCAGGAACAAGCTTGATGAACATGGCATTATAGTAAGGAACAAGGCTAGATTGGTAGTGAAGGGATACAACCAACAGGAAGGTATTGATTTCGCTGAAACCTTTGCTCCTGTAGCTAGGTTAGAAGCTATTAGAATCCTAGTAGCTTTTGCTTCTTTTATGGGTTTCAAACTCTATCAAATGGATGTGAAATGTGCTTTTCTTAATGGTTTCTTAAATGAGGAGGTGTTTGTTGAACAACCTCTAGGTTTCGAAAATCCTAAATTTCCAAATCATGTTTTTAAGCTTGATAAAGCTCTCTATAGGCTTAAACAAGCTCCAAGAGCCTGGTATGAAAGACTTTCAAAGTTTCTACTGAAAAATGATTTCAAAAGAGGAAAAGTAGACAAAACTCTTTTTCTTAAATCTCGAGGAACTGATTTGTTAGCTGTACAGATCTATGTAGATGATATTATATTTGGTGCTACTAACAATAGTTTTGCTGAGCTAATGGGCGGTGAATTTGAGATGAGCATGATGGGCGAATTAAATTTCTTCCTTGGACTTCAAATAAAGAAAACAGCTGAAGGAATAATGATTCACCAACAGAAGTATGTCAAGGAACTTCTGAAGAAGTACAACATGGAGAATGCCAAGACAAATCATACACCTATGGGAACAACAACAAGACTTAATGAGGATCCACAGGGAACAAGTGTAGATCAAACCATTTACAGAGGTATGATTGGTTCATTACTATATCTAACAGCTAGTAGGCCTAACATTTCTTTTAGTGTTGGATTGTGTGATAGATTTCAATCTACTCCTAAAGAATCACATCTAACGGCTGTTAAGAGAATTTTGAGATACCTTAAAGGAACAGATGACCTGTGTCTGTTCTATCCTAGAAGTGATGACTTTATGCTTAGAGGATTCACAGATGTTGACTATGCAGGTGACTTAGTCAATAGGAAAAGCACCTCAGGTATGGTTCAGTTCCTTGGCTCTTGTCTAGTCTCTTGGGGTTCGAAGAAGCAAAATACTGCTGCATTGTCTACTATAGAGGCTGAGTATGTAGCACTAGCTGCTAGTTGCTCTCAAGTCCTCTGGATCAAACAACAGTTGCATGACTTTGGTATTAAATTTAATTGCATTACTATCTACTGTGATAACACTAGTGCAATTTGCATATATAAAGATCCAGTCCATCATTCAAGAGTCAAGAATATTCATATAAGGCATCATTTCCTTAAGGATAATGTTTAAAAGGGTTTGATTAAGTTATATTTCTGCCAAACTGAAAATCAAATTGCAGATATTTTAACAAAACCCTTCAATAGAGAAAGGCATGAGAAGATGAGAATGGAACTTGGGATGATTAAGTTATACTGAGAAAAATGCATCAAGTTCCCTCAGGTATGAAACTCAAACTGATGTGCTTAAACTATTGTATACTGTGCACAAGTGTTGTATGTTTAATTACATAGTTATGACAGGTTGTAAGCAGGAGTAATATTTGCTAAGAGCATGTAAATTTGAAAGACATAGAATGTGAAAGTCCAAAATTGGTTGCATGAGCCTTGTTGAATTGTTCTGTGTATCAAGTTGCATTTGCAAGTGAGTTTTAACTTATTAAATTCAAGAGATAAAATTATTGTGTTTATCTATTTTTCAAAATTCCAAATTCTTTTTTATCTAAACACAAAAATCAGATGAATACATCAAATATTCATCATTATCTTTTGTTCAAAAGTAGCCCACTCACATTACTCTCTTAAAACACGATTTGCGTTTCCCAAGCAATAAATATGAGTGTCAAATCAACTTAATTCACCTCACCTCCCAAACGACACCTCACTTCACCAATTTACCTCCACCATAAAACATGTCAGCCTCACAAAAATTTACACCACACAAAAATTACCTTCTTTCTCATCAGTTTGATCAAGACTACTATCCAATGTCTACCTCTCCAAAAACCCAAATTGAAGTCGACTCAAACACAAACCCAACCCCAGACATCACCATGGAAATTCCACCGGAAATCACTCCCATCGATGTTCAAGAGCCTCCAAAAGTCGATTTGACTACCGAATCTCAGTCTTCTCGCAAAAGGAAGTCTGATGACATGCAAGATGAAGAAGAAAGTGCTCCGGAACTAGGGATTAATTACCGAGACAAGCCAGCAGCCATGAAAAGGCAAGAGAAAATTGGTGATCACTTTGTGACAGGTTTGGCTATTAATCTTCCTTGGTGTAAGTCTGTTAAGTTGTATGAACTGCTTGATTTGATTGAGTCTCAAAATTGGGTGAATTTGTTAAGTGAATGCTTTAATCGGAGTTTGTATGTTGATGCTATGAAGGATTTTTGCAAAAGTTTCAAATACTCTAAAGGTGTTATTCATTGCTGTGTGTATGAAAAAGAAATAGAGTTTGATGCGATGTACTTGGCTGAGTTGTTTGATGTTCCTAATAATGGATATGATCTATATTTCAAAAGTAATGTGATAAGGAACTCTCTTCCTGATGCAAATATTGATGAAATAGTGGAGTTTCTAGGTGGTGACCCGGAGGAAACCTACATAAACCATAATGACCTAACCCCTCTAGACCAAATTCTGCTGAAGTTTGTTTTTAATGACATAATTCCTTGCTCCCAAAAGAGAGACGGTGCCAACAAGATTGACTCTGTTCTCATCTACTGCCTAGCAAAAAAGATTCAAATCAACTTTCCCTCTATCATGATCCAACACCTTTCCCATTGTGTTCCAAAAGGATGGAAGGTGGGATATGGTAACCTACTTACCTATGTCTTCGAAAGCTTTGGTATCACCTTTGTTGATAAAGAACCCCTGCCCCTCAAAAACACCGAATACATGCAACCTATTTTCCTTGAAAACCATAAGATGAAGGTTGTGGATGGATGTTTTGATGTTGTGCTGGAGGAAAAGGAGAAAAGGCCTAAGGAAGTAGGTGCCCTAGCTGAAGGGGAGGAAGAGAGGGCTACGGGGATAGTGAGGAAGGTCATGATAGCAGCTTGGGGAGACTCAGAAAGTGAAGAAGAAGATGATGACCAACCAGAAGAGGAGACGACAAATCTTTGTCTGATGGCCACATCAGATGATGAAAAGGCTTACCTTGAGGAACTCCAAAAGGAGGTATTTCTTGATCCTAAACAGCTTAAAACTCTCTCTAAAGATGTCTTAATAGATATATGTCTAGAAGAAGAAGAATTCTGTAGAGATACATGTGTGAAGTTGAATAAATGTGAAAAGGCTCTTAAAGTTTGCAAAGAACATGGTGCTTGGTTGGAAACAGCCTATGCCAAGTCTCAAAGCAAATTAAGAGAGCTTGATTTTAAATACAAACACATAACTGAGATAGCTGATAGAATTAAGAATGAAAGTATTCTTCTGAATATTGAATTAACTCAATATAAGCTCATGAATTCTAATATCAGTTCTAGCAGTTCCATAAGCGACCAGTTGCTTAAATTCAATGTTGATTTTGAAAATTTAAAAGATGAGCTTTCTACTTTAAAAACTCAAAAGGATCAACTTGAATCAGAACTGAATGCTAGAAAGGATAGAAGTATTGACCCAAAAGTCATACCTAAGTTGATAGCTGAAGCTCAAGGAAAAAGAACTGAAGGCCTTGTTTACATGACCAAGAGGAAAGGTAAGCAAAAGAAATATGTTGAGCTTCCTAGCATGAAGGTATGTACTTTTTGTGGTAAGACCAGACATCTCTATGGACAGTGTATGATAAGAGAAGAAGCAGATAAAAGAAATTTAAAACAAGTGTGGGTCAAGAAAACTGATATTGCATCCACGTCTAAGGAACCCAAGGAAACCTGGGTTCCTAAACCTAATGCTTAGTTTTCTTGCAGGTCCTAGTGAGGGGGAACAACTCGTGGTATCTCGACTGCGGTTGTTCAAAGCATATGACAGGTGATAAATCAAAATTCCTCTCACTAGAAGACTACCCTGGAGGAACAGTAACCTTTGGGGATAATAAGAAGGGCGAGATCATTGGAAAAGGCAAAATTGGAAGATCTAAATCTCATTCCATTGATAATGTGTTCCTGGTCAAGGGCTTAATGCACAATCTGCTCAGTATATCACAATTCTGTGATAAGGGAAACTCTGTAAGTTTTACTTCTGATTCTTGCAACATCATCAACAACAAGTCAGGAAAGGTTGTTCAAGAAGGAGCAAGAAGAGGGAACACTTATAAAGTTGACCTTAACTTAATCCCAAGGAACAACCTTACATGTCTGAGTGTTGTTGAAGATGATCCCCTGCTATGGCATAAACGTTTTGGACATGCTAGCTTTTCATTACTGGACAAGCTGAGGTCAAGGAACTTGGTTGTGGGACTTCCTATTATCAAGTTCCTACTGTACAAAGTTTGTGATGCATGTGTGAAAGGCAAGCATGTTTGTTCATCTTTTAAATTGAAGAAAAGGGCTAGCACTACAAATCCTTTGGAATTAATCCATATGGATTTGTGTGGTCCCATGAGAATTCAAAGCAGGAGCGGCAAGAAATATGTTTTGGTTATCGTTGATGATTATTCTAGATTCACTTGGTTTATTTTTCTTTCTAGCAAAGATGAAACTTTTAACGAGTTTGTTGCTTTTTCCAAGAAAATACAGAAAATCAGTGGTCACTCCATAGTCCATCTCAGATCAGATCACGGAACTGAATTTGAGAACTCAAGATTCGATGAGTTTTGCAGGGAAAATGGCATGAATCATAATTTCTCAGCTCCAAGGACTCCCCAACAGAATGGAGTTGTAGAAAGGAAGAATCAAACCCTTGAGGAAATGGCTAGAACGATGTTGATTGCAAGTGGATTGCCAAGGAACTTCTGGACTAAAGCCGTGAATACAGCATGTTACATCCTTAACAGGGTAACAATCAGAAGTATCATCAACAAGACTCTCTATGAACTATTCAGGGGAAGGAAGCCAAACATATCTCATCTTAGAGCCTTTGGTTGTAAGTGCTTTGTACATAATAATGGTAAGAAAAACCTAGGTAAATTTGATGAAAGAAGTGAAGAGGCCATATTTCTAGGATATGCCTCTAATAGCAAAGCTTATAGAGTTTACAATAAAAGCTCAATGTGTGTTGAGGAAAGCATTCACATAATCTTTGATGAAGTTAAGTAGTTTGTGAGTGTGCAGGAAAAAGAAGATGATAATGATTTTGAAATTGGATTGATAAGAGACATGGATGAAGAAGAGACTCAGAAGCAAACCAAAGAAAAGTATCCTGCTCCAGAAGAGGATCATCAAGAAAATGGAGAGGTTCCTCAACCAGATGAACAGGTGAATGAGGAACAAGAAGAAGAAGCAGGAGGAACAGATCCAGAAGCTCCTCAAATTGGAGTTCCAGCAAGGGAATTTCAACCCAGGCCATTCTAGTATCAAGGTTCTCATCCAACTGATCTCATTATCAGTGACATAGGAAAAGGAACTCAAACAAGATCGCAAATGAGGAACTTCTGTGCGTTCCATGCATTTCTGTCCATCCTAGAGCTAAGAAATCATCAAGAAGCCTTGAGAGATGCTGATTGGATAGTGTCCATGCAAGAGGAACTCAATGAGTTCGAAAGGAACAAAGTCTGGCACCTTAAGCCAAAGCCTAAGGGAAAGAAAGTTATTGGGCTCAAATGCGTGTTCAGGAACAAGCTTGATGAACATGGCATTATAGTAAGGAACAAGGCTAGATTGGTAGTGAAGGGATACAACCAACAGGAAGGTATTGATTTCGCTGAAACCTTTGCTCCTGTAGCTAGGTTAGAAGCTATTAGAATCCTAGTAGCTTTTGCTTCTTTTATGGGTTTCAAAACTCTATCAAATGGATGTGAAATGTGCTTTTCTTAATGGTTTCTTAAATGAGGAGGTGTTTGTTGAACAACCTCTAGGTTTCGAAAATCCTAAATTTCCAAATCATGTTTTTAAGCTTGATAAAGCTCTCTATAGGCTTAAACAAGCTCCAAGAGCCTGGTATGAAAGACTTTCAAAGTTTCTACTGAAAAATGATTTCAAAAGAGGAAAAGTAGACAAAACTCTTTTTCTTAAATCTCGAGGAACTGATTTGTTAGCTGTACAGATCTATGTAGATGATATTATATTTGGTGCTACTAACAATAGTTTTGCTGAGCTAATGGGCGGTGAATTTGAGATGAGCATGATGGGCGAATTAAATTTCTTCCTTGGACTTCAAATAAAGAAAACAGCTGAAGGAATAATGATTCACCAACAGAAGTATGTCAAGGAACTTCTGAAGAAGTACAACATGGAGAATGCCAAGACAAATCATACACCTATGGAACAACAACAAGACTTAATGAGGATCCACAGGGAACAAGTGTAGATCAAAC